TAATTATCATTATTTATTATTATTTATTATTATTATTCACGTTCAATTCTGATAAGAAACAACTGAGCTCTTAACACAATAAAACCATAAGCTTTATCCCTATTCAGAGGTATTGACGCTGCTTCTGAAGACAAGTAGAGGTGCTCCTAAGGTAACTGAAGTTTGTTTTCCTGCTCCACTGCATTTTTGCACATTCGGACTGAAATAAACTCTGCTAGTTTTGTTGAATACAGAAATGTTGAATATAGCTTTGGGCTTTTCCTCCTGTAAGAGGATGTTTGGCAAAATACTAGACTCTAGCCTTTCAAAAGAAAACGGTTGCGACAATTTACCTGAAATCCTTGTTTCCGCTGGTACTTCCTCCTTTGCTGCATATCGGCGAAAGTAGCTGCTCCAGTTGGGTAGGTATAGGCCATATGTGGTAGGAAGCTCATCTGATCTAGTCCTGGGTATGGTCGCAGCCCAGGAATACTGGTCTGGACTGGTGGCATAAAAGTGGCTGGGGGAAATGCGCTCTGTGGTGGAAGTGTTGTGTATAAAGGTTTGGCACTAAATGGGTTCATACCAAATACTGGGTTAGTGCTTTTATCCAGATTATTTGAATTAGAAAACTCTTTCTTGATAAAAGTCAAGTTCAGTGGCTCATCTGAGTTTTCAGATGATGAAGAAACACTGTTGTGTTCTAAATTTACGCTATTAGATTTTGTTTTGTTCTTTGTGGCTATAATACTTTTGGGTTCCTTCATTTGTTTTGGTAAAGACAAGTCCAAAGGCTCAGCCTGAAGCTCCTCAGAAGAGAAACTGTTTGGAGTGTAAGAACTACTATGGGAGTTTTTAGAAGATGTGGAAGAAAGATTTAAAGGAGAAGGAGTATTGCTCCTAGAGTGGTCCAATTTATCAACTGGTTTAATATTGGTAAAATGAGGAGGTTTTGTTAGCCTGAGAGGAGTATCACAATTAGTAACACTGTTATGGAGTTCAGCTATAGATGGTGAAGTTATAGAGTCCACAGGCTTTATTGGAGATCTGGCTGACAAAGAGTCTTTAGTGGGAGTGTTGTTGGTGGCAGCCAGCGCCACCTTGGCACTGGCCCTTTCCAGTGATGGTGACCTGGAACTTGAATACTGGTAGACTTTTCTTTGTTCAAACCATTCCTTCACAAATTCCTGAGGAAGGCCAACAGCAATGGAAATTTTCAGTAGTTCATCAGAGTTGGGTTCCATATTCATAGCATAATATGCTTTAAGTACAGACATGTGGTCCTTGTATGGGTTGATGGGGCTAGTCATTCCTTTCTCAGAAAGTACTGATGACAGCAAGAGGGTTTGCTTATCAAACACTCCAGGTTTGTTGGGAACCATGTTCTCGTGAGGCTGAAGGACTGCCTTGATCTCTTCATTCATTTTACACAGGTAACGCTCATGCTGATGCAACGGAATGGGACCAGGAAAGCTTTCTTTACAGAACTGGCATGAAAATGGAGTGGATACGTTATGGTTCTCTATCATCTTGTCTTCAGTTACCAGGTCTATTAGGGTTCGCAGCTTCTCTTTTTTAATGTTATTCAGCTGCCTCCTCGAGTCTGTGGTTAAGCTCTGGAGGCAAGCTTTGGCTTCATTGACTTTCTCTAATGTATAGTCAATAATACTTTTAGTGGCACCATTATGACTTACTACTGGAAGACCCACAGGGGGAATATTGGGGGAGGTAACTCCTTGTTCCTCAGCTTGAGAGCATGAATCCTTCATATGGTAAACCTTCAACTTGGAGATCTCTTCAGCCTTGCAGTCCATTTTCTGCCGGGAAACCGTGTTGTCCACAATCTGTAGGACCTTCTGCACCTCACTTAAATTACTGCCTACCGCAGGAAACCCAAGCAATGGTGCTTCCATCCCTACACCTAAGTGCTGCATTGGACTTTGAGCAGAAGTGTGAACTCCTAAGGGGCTGGTTGCTCCAAGTCCACCATTCATAAAAGGACTAGTTGCACTAAACCCATGTGAGGCCATAAGAACCTTGTATTCATTGAAATCTAGTGGTTCGGTTTTAATTTTCAGTAGGCCTGTTTGTTCAGACATACTAAGTGGTTTGCCATTCTCCAGCTTGTTTCTCAGCTGTGTGATGGCTGAATTAGTAGGAGAGGAAGATACAGAATTAGGAGAAGAACCCGTCTTGATATTGTTTCTCATTCTGCCATTTACAGAGATCAAACCAATACACTTCTTGCTGCTGATGTGTGAACTGTAGGAGCCAGAATGGGAGAAACGCTTCTTGCAGTTTGGACACTCGTATGGTTTTTCACCTAGAATAATAATTAAAACCAAATGTGAATTAGCATTGCGCCTGCCGTAATTGCGAGCGATCGCATTTGATACCCAACTGATCGTCTGCGTATCCCCTGGTCTATAGCGAGGAAAATATTAATTCTATGAATACAGCCACACGCCATCACTGCTTTGCCCTCCTCCTTTTACGTGTCTTGAGGTCAGTTTGGACCCAGGGTCTCCAGCCAGCAACAGCCACTGAGAGGTGAGATTGGCTCCAGACTGACCATTGCAAGTCACAGGTAAGTATCCTGCAGCAAAGGGAGTCAATCCAAATCCAGATTTTTCAAATTTGATTTGTTTCTCTTTTTTTTCCCTCATTCAAAAAAAAAAAAAAAAAAAAGGAATTTTCAATGGATATAAGAAACTGAGTCCTGATGTTAGGACCTCCACGTCAGCGCTGGTGGAGGTTTGTGCCCGGACAGAGCGTGGTGGCATTTCGTCTGCTGAACGCTGTGCCAAGGGGGAGAGCCAAAACGCACGAGTCATTCAATACGAGACGCTTTGCGCTTACTCATTACATGAGAATATGAGCCGTATTTCACTCGGGGGGACTTTTTGTTATGGAAAATGTAATGGACTCTTCAGGGTCCGACTGCAGAGAGAGGAGCGAATGCTTCCGAACTCAAACTGTCGAACGAATAATCTATATTATTTGCAGGAAGCTTTACTATTTCCAAATCTTTCAGCAAGACGGTGGTATTAGCAGCGTGATAAATGAGGGTGACTCAGATAGCACTTATGAAATACCTTAGTAGCTCCAAGAAGCCAGAAGCAGAACTGTGTAAATTTTAAGCAGTCTTTAAAACTCAGCTAATTAAACAAAATGCAAATGAGCACACCAGCACCTCCGCTACTCACCACTGTGAATTCGCAGGTGTTCCTTCAGATGGTGTTTGTATTTGAAGGCCTTGCCACACTCAGTGCATTTGAACTTGCGATTGCCTGCTCCTTGGGTCAGCATTTGGTGCTGGGAGAAAGAAAGAAAGAAAAAAAAAAAGATACTAAAATGAATTTTATGCATGAGAAACCCTGAATTTCTAGCTTAAAAAACAAAACCAAAATTAATGTGGCTCTGAATTTATCAAGCGGACCAAAAGGTCTGCATGTACATTTATTTGTCTCATCAGGGTTGCCATAAAAATCAAAATGTTGGCAGTAAACCGAAACAAATGAGAAAGTACTTTCACATGAGCATGCGATATTTGCTTTAGAATTATTTCCTAAGTCTCTCATCACAAATATGTTGCTTTAAGGTATCTTACGCTGAGGGAAACTGTTTTATAAGAAGATTTGTGGCTCTTAATATTCCTAGCGGATTCTGAACATGTGGGACTCGGCTTGTTTAAAAATTCTGTTTACTGCGTGTGTAGGAAAGACCGAAACGCTGTCGTTAGTGGCATTTCATGTAAGATTTAATTCATTATCAAGCAGAAGAGACGGCGTCTTTGGTGTGAGCTGCTGCTGGAAATGTTTTTTAAAATCACAGAGCAGGAGGAAAGACTTGAGCTACCTTTTGCACCGTGTTTTTCCCCGGTGTTCTTCTAAGGGGCAAGGGAAAGTTGCAGGTTAAAAGTGGCATAAAGATATAGTCAAAGGCAGCTGACCTTTTTTATAACAAGCAAGAAAAGCCCTGTGAGTTTGAATTTGAAGAGGCAGGAAAAAAATAAATTATAATTTTAATAATAAACTCTCTAGGTGCTCAAGGTAGGAGGTCAGCCTTTTGCAGGCGGCCACGACACAAAAGCCTATTGCAGGAGCAGAGAAGGAAGGTGGGGGGAAAGGGGATAAAAAAAAAAGAAAAAGGAAAAAAAAAAAGGCAGCGCCAAAACGGTATGACAACTGCGAGGGTGTGCTGCCTCTTCCCACATTCCTGGCGAGACAGATGGTGTTACATGGGACACAGGGAGGTTTGTTCAAACAGCAGCAACCTTCAAAGATCAAGCAGAGCCCAGCCCGCCGCGCGCCATTGAGGGACCCGCGCTCATATGTTGCTGAGTTGCATAAACAAACAGCAACAGCTGTTTTGTCTCCCCCCATCGCCCTCCGAGGACTACTATAAACTTTAGTTGTGCCACTGTTAATATGATACAATCATTTTAATTTACTAATTGTAAATGCCACGAGCAAATGAGGGGACTTTTCAACACCAAAGCTACCATTCATAATGCGCCAGTGCCGGCGCGCTCTCGCATGTGAAATTTCAAGGAGGTTACGTTGGATAAATATCTAGGTGGGTTGGGTTGGTTGTGTGGTTTTTTTTTTCCTTTTCTTTCCCCCCGGTGTTTTTAATGACACGAAGCAAAAAGGAAGAACCTTGTGGTGTATCAGGTTAGGAAAAATACATACGTGAAAACGTGTTTGTCTTCTGGAAAAGCCACAGGAAGGGAAGAACAGGTGAAACCAGAATCATTTATATCGATTTAAGATCAAGAAAAAGATACGGTTCTCTTAAAAATGCTAATTGCAAAAATCATGCGATTAGAAGACGCATGCTTGCCTAACTGAATTTACCTTACACTGAGGAAAACCTACCAAGAGAAATACAGCCCATCATGATTTTCACGTTTTTAAGAAAAATAAACACGGCGTAAAGCCTTTATAATTTGACACACGATGCACACTTCTATTTATTTAAGTCTTAACCACGCCATTTGAGTTTCCATTACAGCCCTTCACCAGACAGGGTTTTCAGAAGTAACTCTCCCGTGAGGACAGGGGTAGTTTTTCTGCCAGTACGTAAAGAGTTTTGTGGCACAGGTCTGTCGCCAGCCTGTTTAGGAATACTAGGGAAGCTCAGTTACCTGTCTGAGATACTCAGCATTTCCTTAAATGCAGCACTGATATAATATTACATGCATCACATCGAGGAAAAAACTGTTTTGATTTATTGCAGATACACTGCCGGAGTATACAAATGATAGCGATGTGGCGATTCTATGCATGCACGTGTTAGTGGCATGGTCACAAATGATAGCCTGTATGTACCGTAGGAAGAGTTATTCTAAAAATGTGTAATTATGTTTAGCAAACAATTATGCAAAATACGCGTAATTTCACGTGGTTGAAAAGGTTACTCGGAAAGTAATGAAAAAGTATTAGCGGATCTTTCAGTATGTCTTGGAGCTCCTATTTGAGACACTGCAAAGTAAAACTAGGTGAAAAATGGAATTAAAATTGCTGAGATGTTTAATAATGTATAATTAAAATGCTACAGTCTCATTCACTTTTTGAGGAACATAAAAACGAAACTAAAGTCAAGTTAAAGTGCAAATAAAATTTCTAAATTAGAAATTAACACACTCATTCGATCGTGAACATAAGACTATTAAATCATATTAGAAGAGACCATCAAAAAATCATTTAGACCTCAATTAAAGCTATTACCATTAAAAGATCTGCATCTTCAAAATGCCATGAAAAATTAATAATGATTGCCAATCAAAGCAATATCGTTTCTCTAAGGGGTTATTACAGAAAGAAATCACTTAAAACCAGCCCCCCACCTGATCTGTCCCTGGCTTGTGTGTCACCATATGCCGCTCGAGCTGGGTGCGGTAGGCAAACGTGTAGTTACAGAGAGGGCATGAGAAGTTCTCCTCGTTCTTCTCGTGGCGGTACTTGATGTGCTCCTTGAGGGACGTCAGGCGCTTGTAGCCCCGGTCGCAGTACGGGCAGGTCAGCAGTTGGGCGAAGGCATCTGGAGTTCCAGGTGGCAGGTCTGAGCCCCGGGATGGAGAGGAAGAGAGGAGGAGGGGGGGAGAGGGAGAAGAGAGGCAGGCCAAAAGGTCAGCAAATCAATGGCAGCTCATGGGCTGATTGCCCGGGATGGTATGAGAGGAATCGCGGCAATCTGTTGCCCAAGAGAGAGGGACGACGCTTCCGACCGGCAGCGGGAGGCAGTGGCACCCCCCCGCCACAGGCTCGCGCCCCCCCCCGCCACAGGCTCGCAGCACCCACTCCAGACCCTGCTAATTACGGGCATCACTCCTCCCGCAGACCTCGCAGGCTGGAAAAACTAAGAAAGGTTTTCCCCCAAGCAATCGGTGATTTGCATTCCAGCTCATCCCGTTACCTACGCCACTGACCCAATCCTTCCTACCGACACTTTTCCCCTTATTTATCGAGGCGTCGGAGAGCGACGGGACAGCTACCACATCTTTTGCCGCGTTGAAACTCGATTAAAACTTCCCAAACTCCCAACTGGAGCGAGCGGCAGCCTTTCCCCCGTTGAAATTCAGCTCACCCGCCAAATAATATGAATTTGCTGACTGAAAAATCACAATACACTGAAATTACAGCCCCAATCTTTGCTCATGAAATTCCACGCCGCTGCAGCTGTTCTTCAATTTTTAAGGTAAACACGCAGGCATGTAGTGCATTTATAATTGCAACAGCTGCACGAGGTCAGAAGAGTGGCTAAAAATGAATTACGGCCTCACCATTTTCTTCTTGCCCATTGGCCTCTGGAGTGCCAAGGCGAGACAGTTCCTCAGGGGCTTCGGGGTAGATGATGGCTGTGTCGCTGCGCTGCAGGTACTCCGCTATGCTGACCGCGTGCCCGTCTCCTTCCTCCAGCTTCCTCTTGGCAAAATATTCCTCAAAGTCTGACGTGCAATTTGCGTTCTTCACTGAAACGAGAGAAGGGGGAGAAAAGAAAAGGGGGGTTGAGAGAGTCCCCACCCCAATGGGGTCAATCCACGTCGAGGTTGGGGCTGCGGCTGGACCCGCGCTGCCATCGGTCTTGCTCCAGCTCCTAATAAAATTAATGCAGGCTTATCCACCAGTGTGGGTGGAAGGAAGGGCAGGCAGTTAAATTAACAAGAACACAGGCTCTACGGGGCAGCAGAAGTTTACAAGGCTTGGGTAATGCAGGTAAATCCTTCACCTAGGGAACCCAAACCTTCAAGGGGCTCCTGGGGGACCCACAGCTTTTCGAATGAAAACAGCTCAACCTACAGGGCTGAGCTCAGCTGCCCTAGATCCTAAAGACCCCGAGTCAATCCTCTCATGGGAAATGGTAGTTGCAGGTAGTAAAGACCCTGACGTGAGAGGTCCTGCTATGGGCTGTTCTTCCATGGCGGGTGCAAGAATATAATTGCTCCAAACATCTTTCCCCTTTCTTTTTTTTTTTTCCTCTCCAAAAAATTAACTTACAATGGGAGAATAGGTTATTTAAAAAAAAAAAAAATATTGCTTCATAGATTTCTATAAATAGAACCACATGTTTTGGACTATAACAGGGATACTGAGCCTAAAACCACTTTTAGAGTTTGTACTAGAATTTTCCTTCTTTTCCTTAAATACAAACCCAATTTTTTATTGTCTATGCAACATTCATGAAACATAATATATGCTCAACCACAAAACATCCTGTTACTAAAAATATGTTTTATCCTCCATATATGAGCACTGCATACAGAAAAGACCTTAAGAACTCTGGGACATTATAGGCAAATATTAATATAGTTATACCAGGGGAAAAAAGAAAAAGAGCTGATCATTTTCTTTCTCTCTCTCTCTTTTTTTTTTTTTAATCAACAAGTCTTGGAAGATGCAGCTAGTGGCAGGGAATTAAAGATACTTGTTTTTAACTGACTGTAAATCAAAAGAATGGGTTATGATTGATTACATTTTTTAAACATTTCTCCTTAGGTGAAATAAGAAAATGGGACAACACCATAAACTATTCTATAGTTCATGTAAAAGTAAAATTTTAAATGACACCCTTCTGTTCTTGCTGGTGCCAGGGAGCAATACGGTGTAAGCCCATGGAAATAGGAGGGGTTACGGCCCTAACAGAGTTATACCGGTTTCTAACCACTGGAAACAAGAGACTAACCAGCTCCTTAGCATTTAGAAATGGGTAAATGCTTTGCCTTCAGAAATGCAGGGTGATGCTGGAAGTCAAAACGAGACGTGGCCTCTGACTGGGGCACAACTGGAAACCTGAAAGCGCCTGATTTGAAGTGCTGATCTCGCCGTCGTCGATAAAAGTAGATATTCATCTATGCAAACCTCATCCCTTTAGCCGATAAAAATCAAATCCTCCGGCTGAGACAAATATGCCCTATTTTTTCGTATGAGCTGAGCAGCTTCTCAACTGCTCTGCAGCATTTTAGTGACAGTGACCAAATGGCACAAGGGCATGGGATCCTGGGTTTGGAACAAAACTTCTGTTCCTATCACAGCAGTTTCGTGGGGAATCGCTGCAACGCCACAGAGCCCTTCCCTTGGTCCTTCTGTAGCCCCTGTTATCATTTGTTATTAGCATGAGAAATACTATCTTCCTTTTTCCCCCCAACAAAAGTAACTTCTAGAGTCTAGAGCATGGAGAACAAGGCCGAGTACGTTACCACCATTTTGTTGCTGAGACAGAAATATAACAAACTGGTGATTACTGAGGTACACCTTATGCACAAGAGTGTTAGACAGTGTTTTTTTACTTTGTTTTTATGAAAAAAAAAAAGCCGAGGCATTATTTTTTCCATTGGAAACCTGACTTTTCATTCCCTTGCTATGCCTAGATCTTCCAGCTGTTGCAAGATCATCCTACCCTTAACGTCTGCAAGATGATCAACATTACCCCATCTCTGCTCCTTCTCTTGGCTTTGCAATAGATCAAGCGGAAAAAAAGTTTATTTTTTACCAGATTCAGGTCAAGACCCAGTAAATGCTACCTGTGAAAGAGGGAAGAGAGCTTTTCTCAAGAGTGAAGGTACGGGACCAGGAATGGGAAAGGGTAGGATTGCCCCAAGGGGTGGCTCCATCTGTCCTTGTCCTGCTCCAGACAGGCTGAGAGGGTTTGGAGTTTGCAACTTCATTCATAGGATGGAGATTCAAGACACCGAGTGAGGCCTGGGTTAATATCAGGATCTTCAATCCCAAAGTTGAACCCAGATGAAGTTCTTCCTTCCCAACCTCCCAAGTCTATCTGGAGGCTGATCCAACAGGTTGTGAAGGACCGCTGCGATATTACCGGCCTTGCCTTCCTAATTCTCTGGATTATTTAGCTTCTATGTCTGTGCATGCAATCCGGGAGCTAAAGCAAATGTTTATGTCTACATTATAAACCCCTAAAAACAAGGGGATTTAGTGGAAAAGCTGACAGATCCTTAACTGAAACAATACAGCCAGTGCTGCGATGCTGCAGATTAACATAAATACCAAAAGGTGACCATGTGTCTCTGGTTTCTCACCAGCGACGCTACTGACAATTCAGACATGGCTGGAAGCTCACTCAGCCTTCCTAAAAAGAGCCATCTGATAACCATTAGGTTTCTGGGGGAGGAAGACCTGCTTTCCCTCTCTCTACCCCGTGCCCTAATTTGTTTCCATGCAGAAAGCGATGTTCCTGGATTCCTCACGGGCTGACACTGCACACACATTGCACATCCCCTCCTGCGAGGCAAGAACTTTAGCGAGATCTACAGTGGGTGACTTCACCAAATAAGTCCATTTTTTTAATTAATTATTGGAGTCTGGAGAGCAGAAGTATTTGCAGCTCCGAAAGCTGATGTGGCCGCGTCACGTCAAAATAAAACGCGTTAAAGGAAAGCTATCTTTGGAGATTTTTAACCTTCCAAGATAAAGTGAGAAAGAGGTTCCAGGAGCTTGGGAGACCAGTTATTTTGTGTGGGAACTCGTCCTGCGAGGTGGTGATAGCTGCCCTTAATCGCAAACGAAGCTAATAAAACCACAGCCTTCATTAGCCAGGAAGTGAGAGCCCCCATTGGCACACACAGATTACAGCCCCAAAACAGTCTGTCCTCCAGCCTGCCAAGTTTTAGTTCTGTTTTCCTCACCCCAAATATTGTCATTTTTTTCTTACTTTCCCCCTTCTTCAAATTATATTAAGAGATCTTTACCTGGAGCTTGTCACGTGTTAGTAATTGAAACAGGGAAAACTTTTTTCTGTTTGTTTACAGGGAATGTGTTGATCTATTTTCTGCAGACATCCCGGTTGTAATAACTGCTACAGGTGTAATGAAATAATCCACAGGGATTTATTCATTCACGCTTTAAAAAAACTCTTCTGCAAAACATCGTTTTGCCGAGTAACCATTCCAGAAATATTCACAATTTGTTTCAGCAGGGCCAAAGACTAAAATTCTCACTCTAATGGTCACTTTTGCTTTTTCACTATAAAGCCTCCATGGCTTGCTGATTAATGTATTGATAACAAGATTTCTTTTTTTAAGTACCACTGGGAAGTGGCCATTCTGCCAGCAGCAGAATAATTTAATAATGGAGATGACTTCTTTTATAGTTTTCTTTCTCTGCTAATGATGTTCTGCAAGGAATTTGGTGCTAAAAATACCCCACAGTTGTTGCATGCACCTACAGCAGCTTTGCTGGTTGGATGTACATGCATGAGCCCAAAGCTGCATGTCCCATCTCTGTGCCCTGCCCAGGTCATGGAGAGATACAATATCTGCTGTCAAGAGACTCATATTAAATGGAAGGAACCTTCTTGGCCCATCTGGAAGAGCCCATGCTAATCTCTAGGAAGACCCAGATTGCTTTCTTGGATACCAGAAGGTCACTGAAATATGGCTTTCACTGCAGATGAGGTCACTGATCCAACACCTTTCAGAAGGTCAAGTCTCACCCCCACCTCAGCTATTTAATTAAAAATCAATATTAAATGCCCCTACTACCTGCAGGGAAAAATTGAGGCCAGACACTCAAAACGAGCCCAAAGCCTAAAGTGAGGCTGAAGATGAAAACTTTGAGCATTTCCCGGAATAGGTAGGAAGGGTCTCCAATGGCTCAGGAACTGACATTTCCCCTTTCCTCCTCAAATAGCAGTTGGGGCACCTCAATAGGCATGCTGGCAGAGTTTTTACTCCACGTGAAGGATGCTGCATCTCCTAACTGTCACCTGGCATCCCCCACTCAAGGTGAGAAGACTGGCAAAGGAATTTAGCTTACCAGATGATTTAATATGACTAAATAAGATGACACTTCTCTTAAGAGCCTACAGAGGCTGCAGCCACTAGAGAAACATGTTCTAACCAACCCACGCAGGCAGAGGAGGAGGTGGCTCTGAAAGCCTCGGTGATAAAAGATTCGACTTAAACTCTAGCAGAGCACAGGATGCCTCGCAATGGTTATTTGAGCAAAGAGGGTCTGGAGCAAAGAGGAAGACGTGACTTTCGTACAGGACCTTTGGGGAAGGAGTTACCAGGCGCAACATCCAGAGCGGCTTTTAGATTTTAAATGCAGAACAGCTGGAAAAAAGAGCTCTTTGAACCATGAGTTTGCAGTGCATCAGGCTGGGTAGAAGGGCAACCCTTATCTTTTCCCACCACCCCTAGAAAAGTGGTTTCAGAAGAAGCAGGACACCCCATGAGGAGTTAGCGGGAGGGCTCAAAGGCACCCTGTCCTCGGAGAGATGCCGTTGAGGCTGGAGTCAAGCAGGCAGGAGACCATCAGATACTGGAAGGGGCCAAGAGGACATGAAGTCTTCCCCCTCAAGCAGACCACATTGCAAATATGAAAGAGTCAAGGCCTGTTATGGTAAGGAAAATATGTGCAAAGGAAGTCACATGGACTGATAGGGGACCTCAAAGGCTCTGGTAATGGTAATTCAGATAACCATCAAGGCTTACTTCCGAATCAGGCGTCTTTTAAAGTCCCATTTCTCCAAGTGCTGAGCACAATTTGTCACTTTATTAGTGTCCCTTGGAAATAAAAAACCTTTTAAAATACATATGTATCAAGTTTGGTACAACAACATTGTTAAGTATACACGTAGTGATAAACTGTTCCTTGGTGCCGCCCTCCTTTCATGCATAAGAAATCTAGTGGATGAAAAAAGCAGTGACACAGTTTTATTTTCCTATTATTTTCCCCCTCAAGAATTATAAAGTAAATTTCTTGTGTTACTTAACAAGAGCATTGGGGTTTTATGTGGGTGTTACCAACATTAGGAAAGTATGAGTAATAAAATCCTTGCAAGACTTAGGTACCACCTTTTACAGTAATATTTGTAGAGGGCATTACCTATGAACCAAATCTCATAATGGAATGCATAAAAATGTACTTGTGCTAGAAAACACTTTTAACCATGTAAATCGCGGTTATCTGCCCTATCTCAAACTGTGACAAAATGCAAAAGAAACATCGGGTGATGCATGGTGTTGTGCTGAGGATGGAGCAGGGCCTTGTGGCTTTTGGAAAGAACATGGTAAACCCCTGAATTCATTTGGATTAGAAAACAGTAACAGAAACCTTTTGCTGTTTTGCTCTGCTACAGAAGAAAAAAAAAAAAAGAAGAAAAGATGACTTGGAAATGGTGCTAAATATCTCTGTCCCCTTTCTTCTTCCACAAAATATATTGATTTCTAAGAAGAGGGGAAAGAAAGAGATGTGGAAAGTAGGAGAAAAAAATAAGATTAGCCAGAAACATAATAATCTCATAAATATGCATTTAAAGTGTGTGTGTCTGTGTATCTATGTAAGGAGTTTATGTGTGTCTTGCTGAAAAGATGTTTTCAGTCTCTGAAGTAGCTTACTCTGTGCGCCATACGAATCTGGGGGTGCCAAGAAGGGTGCACCCCATCCTCATTATCAAGCTCTTTGTACAGTCTCTCTCATTAAAAGATTACTGTATCTTGGTCCGGCTACTTTAAACTACACGAGATTCCCTCTCGCTGGGAAAACATCTCATGCTGCCGAAAAGCATTAGCTCACATGGGCACAGTCAAAGGAGTTAGGGGCTGAAAGGTTGCAGGGCGCACGAGGGGCGACGAAGGCTCTCACCGAATGAGTTTGTCTCTGCTGTGACCAAACTTGGGGGGGGAAAAAGAAATAACAAAAAAAAGAAAGAAAAAACCAGAATTCTGTAAACCTTCCCCAATGGATGACAAGAAATTGTTTTGTCACTTCGCGCGCAGCTAATTCTACGTGATACCGAAGAAGAGCGATGCTCGGGCCGTGCAACGCCTTACCTGTCCCGTTGTTCCCAGCGGTCTGAATTGTGGCTTCAGGCCCCATAGTGTCATAATCTTCCTTCATTTCTTCTGTGAAATTAAAGCACGCACATGTTTAAGCATTTGCGGGTTGATCGGATTGCTTACAAAGCTAAGGGAGCCCACTGCGGGGCTGGGGAAGATCCCGCTACGGGAAGGAGAGAAAAGGGCTGTTGGGGACCCCCGCACAATGGCTTTGTTCTGGCCAGTGAATGAATTCAGCCACGCTGGGCGGACGAGAATTTATTTACTTTAAACATGACAGCAAGTGGTGGAAAACAGAACTATTTGGTCGGTGTAAATGAAGGGCTTTTCCCCATATCAAGTCTAATAAGCAGTCAGGTGATAAAAAGGGAATTTTTTCTCTTTTTTTTTTCCCCCCCTCTGTACTTAACTAATCAGTTAACAACAGACACTATGACATCTCTACCTGGAAGAAGCTGCAAATACAAAAGGAAGATACAAGAAGTTGGTGTATCTCTATTTCTATCTATCGTCACACAGATCTGAGCTGTCATCGTTGCTTTAACCTCACTGGAAGAGAGGCGTGTATTGGCGTCAAGCGGTGCAGAAATGTGACAAATTTTCAACTGTGGGCAGCTCTTCTCTGCCTGTACAGTTTGTTTGTGCACTCTCTGACAAAGTCTGCCTTGATGGCCATAAATTGTGTTAATTCACATGCAAACGAGCATGATACGTGTAGAATTATTTACTATGTGTTTATCACGGATTGGTTTCCTTTCCCTGAAACTGTTTGGGGTGAGTTAAAACAGCATTCTGAGGAGGCTGGATGCGGCTCCATCACTGGGGAGAACGTTTATTTTCGTGGATGTTACAGCCTGCCTCGGAGTGCTGTCAGACTTGGTTTCCTCCTGCTAATTTGTTAGTTCATGTGCAACA